AGTCCCATCTCCGTAACCCTGGGAAGGGTTTGGCCAGGAGCCAGCCATGGTCCAGTCACCCCAGGGCAAAATTGGGGTGTTTTTATGATTATTCTGCCACAACTTAGGGGCGCTAGGGGGGAAAAGCTGTGCCCAGAAGGTGGCTTTCAGGCTGTTTCCTACAGGAGACGATGTAACTGCACACACTGTGCCTGTCCGTCTCTCACAGTGAGTCCCAATTCCCTTATTTTTAACCCCATTTCCTTGCCTCCCGCTGGAAGGTGACGGGGACTGGCCCCAAAGAGCTGGGCCAGTGGTCGTGCTGTCCCTGTGGTCCCCGGGTCCCAGTGTGAGCCCACGTGCACCGTCCCACCTCTGTCCTCCATCTGTCCATCCATCCTTCCATCCATCCATCTGCCGGGCGCCTCGGCCGCCTTATAAACCCCTAATGAACCTCCCAACACCGCCTCTTCCCAAAGAATAAACCAGCCCTGGCCCAGGCGGTTAATATTTAACTGAATAAGGGCCATAAATATGGAAAATGGGACTTTTAATTAAATAAGCAGCTTTTAAAAGGGCCCTTGGGCCGAAGAGGCTTTTGTTTAAATATGATTGATTTGACATGTCCTTTCCCTCCCGTTTTCTCTCCCTCTCTCCCTCTCCTGCTCGGTGCAGGGATGGGAAGCTGGCTGGCGTGTGGTGGTCCTGCCACGGGACCTGCCACCCTGCCTGCTCCCCCAAAAACCTGGCCGTGGCATCAAGGCAGAGGTTTGGGAGCATGGGACCAGCCAGGTGGGTACCCAGAGAGAGAAACCCCCTGATTTTTAGGATCTGAATTGGAGCAGAAGGTTTCCCCCGGCTGCTGAGATGTTCTTACCTCCCTCTCCAAGCTGCTGACACGCTGCCCTGCACCCCCCTGGGGTGGGATGTGGCCTCTCACATCCACAACTACGTGGATTTCCCCATGGAGGGAGCCTGACAGAGGGGATGGAGGGGAAACTGAAGCAGGGAGCAGGGGATGACCCACCAGGTCGGCAGCACAGGAGCAGGATCTGGCTTCTCCCATCCACAGCTTTCCCCATGGAGGCCCAGCAGGTCCCTTCCAGAAGGGATGGAGGGGAAACTAAGGCAGGGAACGGGGGATGACCCACCAGGTCGGCAGCACAGGAGCAGGATCTGCCTTTTCCCATCCACAGCTTTCCCCATGGAGGCCCAGCAGGTCCCTTCCAGAAGGGATGGAGGGGAAACTAAGGCAGGGAACGGGGGATGACCCACCAGGTCGGCAGCACAGGAGCAGGATCTGCCTTTTCCCATCCACAGCTTTCCCCATGGAGGCCCAGCAGGTCCCTTCCAGAAGGGATGGAGGGGAAACTGAGGCAGGGAGCAGGGGGTGACCCACCAGGTCAGCAGCACAGGAGCAGGATCTGGCTTCTCCCATCCACAGCTTTCCCCATGGAGGCACAGCAGGTCCCCTCCAGAAGGGATGGAGGGGAAACTGAGGCAGGGAACGGGGGATGACCCACCAGGTCGGCAGCACAGCTACGAGAAGGGACTTCACCCAGTGCTTTGGGGCCAGATTCACCCCCCCCCAGATTTCAGCACACACACGGAGAGACTTCCCACAAAAAGGGACTTCACCCAGTGCTTTGGGACCAGATTCACCCCCCGCCAGATTTCAGCACACACACGGAGAGACTTCAGCTGCAAAGGTGCAGTAAAACCAGACCTTAATAGCTTTGCTGTTCTTTGACATTTGGGTTTTACTCGCTGTAGCAAGCGGCACTAATTACTTCTTAGTTACCCAGGTGTCACAGTGCGACCGGAGCAGGGGGTTTATGGAGTGCCACGGGCTGCCGGTGGGCACTGGGACATTTCCAGGCCTGGGGAGACCCTGGGGAGGTGTCGGGGAGTGGGTGGCCCTGCCTGGACCAGCAGCACCACCCACTGTATCCCCCACAACCACCAGGAGCATCTCCAGGCCACCAAACTTTCTTGAAGAAACGGGAGCTGGGGAAAATAACCAGAGGCTGAAGGTTAGAAATTAGTGGGAAAAGATGGGAAGATTGGGAAAAGGACCCAGCAGGACCGTTGCTACATCAAGGTATAAACCTGAGCTGTGCCCACATCTGCAGGAGATGATGCAGCATCTCTCCCCAGGGCACAGAGAAGGTGGAAAAGGCACCAGGAGCAAAAAGGATGGCCCCAAAACCGAATGGCCTTGGGGTGAGGGAGGGCTAGAGACCAGGAGAAGAGGTAAGTCAGGCTGGTGGCTGGTCCCAAGCTGGGCAAACGCTGCAGCAATGGTTGCTCTCAGCTGGTCCCTTCTGTGTATTTTCTGCTCATGGTTCTCCCCCATCCACCCCCTGTCAATGCCGAGGGCCTCAGGCTCCCTTTGCTCAGCGCAGACGTGGCAGGATTCAGCCGAGAGAGCACACAGTTAATTATCTCCACAAACAACTCGGGGGAAGCAAAGTATTCCCTGGACCTGGACCTGTTGCTTTGATGGGATTTCATGAGCGAAGATGAAGAGACAGGGGGAGGAAAAAGAGAGCACTAACTTGGAAAAGAGGAGGTGAGGCTTGACATCGCTTCTGGGTATCCTTGGGCATGAAAATGCCCATCCCCAAGGTGCCCAGAAGGATGGGGTCCTCAGTCCGGAGTCAGACCGTGCTGCTGGTGGGACTTTCTCCCCCAGAAACTGCCACGAAAATCCCTCAGTTGTCACTGAGACCACCAATGCTTGAGGCAAGTGCAGCTCAGCATCCCCAGTGGGGACACAACCCACGGATGGTGCCCAGGTCCAAAGTCTACTCAATGCCAGAGTCACCAGAGCAGGCAGGACTAGTGTCCATCGGTGGTGGCACAGGGTGAGCTGCTGGCCCTGCGGGTCCCTTCTAGGCACCCTGGTGTGACTCGGGGTCCTCTGTGACACACAAAACCAGGGGCAAAAAGGACAGGCTACTGGTTTCAGTTTGCTCGGAGGCAAATTGAAGTCTTAACTTCACCTTTCAGCAGGTCACGCTTCCTAATGGCATCCAGTCCAGGTTGCCCATCTCAGACATCATCCCCCAGCCAGTATCCCTCCTGGAGGACAGCTTTCTCCTCAGCTGCTTTCCACCTACAGTGACGTACCCCAATTCTTCATACACATCGCAATGGCATCCAGTCCAGGTTGCCCATCTCAGACATCATCCCCCAGCCAGTATCCCTCCTGGAGGACAGCTTTCTCCTCAGCTGCTTTCCACCTACAGTGACGTACCCCAATTCTTCATACACATTGTTAAACATCTTGTGTTTTCCCTTTAAAGCATGCAAGGCACCGCCAAGATTGGTTGGCGACGAGGATACAGGCTGAACCCCTCCCTTGGTGCCCATGCAGAACATCTCCTCTCCTCCACAGCATCCTCGGGCACCTCCAGCTCTAGGTGCCCTCTCTGAGAGACTGCAGAGCCCTCATTTTTCTCCCCCTGAAATTCAGGCACATCTCAGCCCTGGTGAGCAGCCTTTGAACAGGGAAACACCAGTGAATCCTCGGTATTCCCTTGTTCCTTGGTGCCTAAAATCACCTTCCCCGAGCCCTTCCCCTCCGGGTGCAAGTGCCACCTTCCTGCTGGGAGGACAAGGGACACTTCTGGAAGGGGCAGCTCGGGAGATGGAGCCAGGGGAGAGATCCCCTTCCTGGGCAGGGCTTTCCTGGCTCTGCCCCTCTCCTCCTGGAGCCAGCTGAGGAGTTTAAGGTTTTCCTTTTAACACCTGACCAACCTGTTTGAAAAACAAAGCCCAGACCTTTCCCAGATGGGAGAAATCTATGGCCCACGTTTAGGTCAGAAAGGGGTGTCCTGGATGTCCCCAAGCCACCGAGTCCATTTCGGTATTCCCTTGTTCCTTGGTGCCTAAAATCACCTTCCCCGAGCCCTTCCCCTCCGGGTGCAAGTGCCACCTTCCTGCTGGGAGGACAAGGGACACTTCTGGAAGGGGCAGCTCGGGAGATGGAGCCAGGGGAGAGATCCCCTTCCTGGGCAGGGCTTTCCTGGCTCTGCCCCTCTCCTCCTGGAGCCAGCTGAGGAGTTTAAGGTTTTCCTTTTAACACCTGACCAACCTGTTTGAAAAACAAAGCCCAGACCTTTCCCAGATGGGAGAAATCTATGGCCCACGTTTAGGTCAGAAAGGGGTGTCCTGGATGTCCCCAAGCCACCGAGTCCATCCTGGGTGGACCCCTGACAGCATGAAACCTGGCACTTGGTCTTCAGCAGCACAAGGACACCGCTCCTCCAAGTCCCACTGATCTCCACAGATGATGATACTGATGGGTCCCAAGAAATCCCACCCCAAACCACAGCCAAAACCCCAGGCCTGACCAACCGCAGTGCTCCACCCCCAGCATTTTTGTGGATTCAGGCTCAAATCAAGCTGCCGAGAGGAAAAAACCAAACTGGAGACACAACAACCCGGAGAGACACATCCCCCCGGGGGGAGGTCTGATGCCACCAGCAGCTCCGACCGCAGGGCCGCTCCTGGGGAGAGGAGGCAAAAGGCAGAGCTCGCCGTGGCAGAGCGGAGATAGAGATTTTTTTATTATTATTTTTTTTTAAAGGTATGTGGTTCTCCAAAAGGGAAAAAAAAAAAAAGAAGAAGAAGAAGAAAAAAAAGGCCCTGTGTTTGCAGCCAACACGTGTAATCTGTTGCAGCCCTTGTCAGACAAAACAGTTTTGCCGTAAGACAGCGATTCCCAGAGGGGAAAGGGGCGAAGTGAAAATACTTTATCAGCTGCGTACATATGTAAAGCGGTACCCTGGTTGAAAAGCAAAGCCTCTTTCCCTTTGAAAGCCGGGGAAGGGAGAGACGGGAGGCGACTGCCTGAGAGCGGGGACAGAAATGACACAGGCACAAAGCCCAACGCAGCCAAACCCCAGGCCTCCCTCCCTAAAACCTGCTTATCTCCCCATCGGACCGAAAGAACTCCCTCGCTGGGGAGAAAAAGGTGTTAAACAAACAAATCCCAACAAAACCCGAGACGTGACTCAGTTTGGAAAACTCTCTTAAAATATACGCGTGGGTTTTAATGTACAGAAATGAAATCATTGAGTTCAGACGTTAAAAGCGGGTTCTGCTGGAGTCCCTGGGGTCAAGCAGGGGAGGTGTCCATGTCCCCAGGACTCTGTGCCACCAGGTTGGGTGGTTTCTGACATAAAGAGGAACCGCATCCCTGCCCAGATTTAAGAGGAGATCCTTGGGCAGAGAAAGACTATTCCTTCCACTCCGAATTCAAGGTCTGTTTCAAAAAAAGCTGGAAATACCGAGACCTGGACGTGTGGCTTAAAGCAGCCCTCGGGTTCACAGGACAAGCAGACTCCGTTGGCAACAAGTGTGATGGCTACTGAGTCCCCTGCTGAGGCTTCTCCCTCTCCGGCCAGCAGCGAGAGATCTGAGAAGATGGAAAAAAAAATAAAGAAAATAAAGATTAATGCCACGTAGCAGCTCCCTGCCAGCGAGGGGGACTCCAGGATGTTGCTGCCGGGCTGGGGAGGGGGGACACAAAATGCCTGGCTCCATCCCAGGCACGGCTGGTTCCTCCCACGGGATGAAGAGCCCCAGGAGGGATGAAGAGCCCCAGGAGGGATGAAGAACACGGAGAGGGATGAAGAACACGGAGAGGGATGAAGAGCCCTGGGAGGGATGAGATGCTGGGGCGATTCCTGTGAATACACGGATAAATGCAGGCAGGAGGGAGGTAAGAAATGGGATGGGAGGGATGAAACGGAGAGAAGGCAGGCGAGGAAGAGGAGAAGAAAGGGAAGGAGAAGGGGCGGTGGTGGGGGGAGAGGGACGGAGCACGCGCGCGTGCCCATCTGGGCGATGCATCACATTGAAATTGTCCCGCATTAAAAATTCACCAGCCAGTGAATTTTCAAGGGATTTGTAGTAATTAGATGACAAAATGCTGGCAAATCTCAGGCTTGCCAAAGATGTTACTCAGGGGTCAAAGACTCGACACTTTTGGCTGGGTAATTTGTAAGTGTCAATCACACTCAGCCATCAGAGAGAAAAGGAGAGATCTAACGGCTGAATCCTAACGAAGTCCGAGGCCCCTGCCTGCCCTCACCCCCCAACGCCCCCCTCGCTGCCTGGCACACGGGGCTCCAGGCTCAGCAGCTGAAACACAGAGCAGGGTGCTGTGGGTTTGGGTTGTTTTTTTTTTAAATTAAAAATAAACCATAAAAAACTTCCCAGTTTTCCTTTTTCAGCCCCAATTTCAGCTGGGAGGAGCACCCGCTCCGCTTTGAAGCTGCCTTGGAGGGGGGGGTTGTGCCTGTCCAGCTTATCCTGCCCCCCCTGGGGGGGTAGGATACTGAATCGGGGCGAGCTCTCCACAGCCCTGCATCACTTCTTCTGATATGTCCTTAAAATTGCTCCTGGGACAGTCTGCCCTCCCGTTTCCAGGGATTTTCTCAGCCCCGTGCTGGGCTGGGTTTGGCTGAAAAGGAAATTAAACCAGCTCCTGCCCCAAATCTTCCCATTTCTGCATCCCCCCCCAAGGTGTTAAGGAGCCTTTGGAGCCACCAGCACCACCCCACGGGTTGTCCCTGCCTGTCCTGGTTCTGCTGGAATAACCTGGGTTAATGTAGACCCTGGTGGGATGCTCCCAGCCCCGGGCGGTGACGGGGACAGCCGAGGGGGTGGCCGTGCCAGCAGAGTGGCTGGAGGGGGGTCCTGCACACCCTCCCACAGCCTGGGGGAGAAAAGAAATTAAAATGCTTTTCTTGGGGCAGGGTGGACCCCACAAAATGCTTTTCTTGGGGCAGGGTGGACCCCGCAAAAGCCGGGTACGGCCCCATGGGGATGGCTGCCCGGAGACGTGGTGTACGGCCGGCACAGAGATCTCTCCTGGCGCTTTGGGGGAAGCTTTATTTTGCATTTTGAGGTCTGATTTCTAGGCCAATAAAGCAGAAAACCTTCTGCCTGGTGAGAGGGGAGCACCCCAGCATCCCCCCAGCCCCATCCAGGACGGCGGCGGCGAACACAGGGCTATGTTTAACCCCAAATCTATTTTTAGGTCACCAAGCGCAGGAGAAGCAGGAGCACCATTTCCTCTCCATCTCTCGTGGCTTATAAAGCCGTCCTCATTACACCTGCTAAATCCCACCCCTGGTTTTGGGCCGTCAGGGCCAGTTTAAGCTGTAGGGAAGGGATGGAGGGACAGGGCACAGGGGGAGGGAGCTCTGGCCACCAGCTCTGCGGTGGCATCAAGAGCATCCATCATACCCCGGGGAAAAAACACATCCCAATGCGCTTAAAGAAGTCAAGTCACAGGGAAAAAAACCCTCAAAACTAAAGGTTTGTTTGCTCCGTGCCACCCCAGCTGCTAAATTTTGTGTCCTCAATCCGGCAGCGCAAGGGAGGGGAGAGGTGGGGAAGGGGAGGGGAAGGGACAGGAGGAAAATTGCATTTTGGCCAGAGCTGCTGCTGCAGTTTCTTCCGAATCCATGGCGATTCCTCGCCGTAGGACAGCGGGGCTGTGAGAGCTGGTAACTCAGCCAAGCGGCAGCGCGCTGCTCTCCAGCCATTGGGCTGCCCTATATAAAGGAGCTGTGGGGACTGTAAAAGTGGCCTGTAGGTTCCTCCTCAATTTAAAAAGTCATTTAGCAGCTGCAAAACGCCGCCTGGCAACAGCCGGCCCTCGGAGGGGCATCCTTCCTTCAGCTACTCATCAGCTGCACGTTGGGCTTCTATCCTGCTTATTTAAATAGCTCCAATCACAGCCCGGGATCTGCAGAGGTGTTTTTCCATTTATTTTTTTTTTTTTTTCTTTATCTTAACTCTAACATCATCTTAAGATGCTGCTAGAGGAACATTTGTTGGGAAGGGGATCTGCAGTAGGGAAGGACTCTGTGACCTCCCGGGTGCCCAACACACGCGGGGAGCCGTTTCGAACGAGCAGGGGGGTGTCTGTGGGGCAGCCCCCTCCTCCCTGGTGGTACCCAAAGACCAAGAGCCCACCTCACCGGGCCTGAAGGCAGCTCCTGCCGCTGCCTCGCTCCCTCGCTCCCTCTCGCAGGAGAAAATTAACCAGCAGAGAAAGAAAAACCCGAATTTTAGTTGAGTGAACACAAAGAAAACCTTTCCCCACCTCTCCTGATGAACGCCATGGACCTCCCTTTTACTTTCCTGCTCCGTGACAGGTAGCACCGTGCACCTTCCAGCTTCCACCTTTCACAGAATCTTCTAGGTTGGAAGGGACCTTAAAGATCATCTTGTCCAACCGTCAACCTAACTGACAAAAATAGACACCCACACAACAAACAAGGAGCATCATCACTAAACCAGACCTCCCAGCACCACATCAACCCGTCTTTTGAACACCTCCAGGGATGGTGCCTCAACCACCTCCCTGGGCAGCCCATTCCAATGGCTGAGAACCCTTTCAGTGAAAAATTTTTCCTAATATCCAGCCTGAACCTCCCCTGGTGTAACTTGAGGCCATTTCCTCTTGTCCTGTCGCCTGTGACTTGAGAAAAGAGACCGACCCCCATCTCTCTACACCCTCCTTTCAGGGAGTTGTAGAGAGCAAGAAGGTCTCCCCTCAGCCTCCTCTTCTCCAGGCTGAATAACCCCAGCTCCCTCAGCCTCTCCTCATAAGACTTATTCTCCAGACCCCTCACCATCTTTGT